TAAAGGTAGCAACGGATAGAACAATAATATTATGAATAATGATTATGCAAATAACAATAATCATTCTTTATTCTAATCGTGACAAATGTCAAAATATCTTCAATAATCATGAAAAATGAGGACAGTGACACAGGTCCCGGTGATGATAACAATGATAAATAAACAAGAAAGGTATATATATATATATATATATATATATATATATATATATATATATATATATATATATATATATATATAGTGTGTGTGTGTGTGTGTGTGTGTGTGTGTGTGTGTGTGTGTGTGTGTGTGTGTGTGTGTGTGTGTGTTGTGTGTGTGTGTTGTGTTGTGTGTGTGTGTTTGTTGTGCGTGTTGTGTGTGTGTGTGTGTGTGTGTGTGTGTTTGTGGTGTGTGTGTGTGTTGTGTTTATGTGTTTGTTGTGTGCGCGCTCGCGCGCGTGTGTGTATGTATATAAACAACCAAACAGCCTAACCAGAGACGTTCATTAATGCTCTGTTGAACAGGTATGTGTCTTTACGCCGACCAGTTACGAGAGCAGTGAACTTGGCACTTAATACTGGGAACTTCAAACAAAGCAAAAAAATTTTTTTTTTTTTTTTTTTTTTGAGGGGAGCGTAGGAAGGGGGGGGGTAGGATGAGGGAAGGTCGTGGTAAACTAATGTTTTTGATATTGTCATTGATGTCATTATTGTTGTTATTCCTGTTATTGTTCTATCATTTTTGTGAATGTTCTTATTGTAATCATCATTGTTGCTACTTTACTTTTTGTGTACATTGTTGTTCTTTTGCAATGGTAAAGATAATAATAATGACAACCAGAGTTAACATTATCACTAGTATTATCATTATCATCAAAACTATTACCATATCTATTTTCATCAAAATGCTGCTGTCTGTTTTACTTCTTATGGTATTTTATTGTTGTTTCTGTTTTATGATTACTTTTCTATTTCTCAATCCCTATTTCTGTGTATGTGTGTGTCTGTCTATCTCTGTCCCTTTCTATCTGTCTCTCTCTCTCTCTCTTTCTCCCTCTCTCTCTCTCTCTCTCTCTCTCTCTCTCTCTCTCTCTCTCTCCCTCCCTCTCCTCTCTCTCTCTTTCTCTCTCCCCCCCTCTCTCTGTCTCTCTCTCCCTCTCCCTCCCTCCCTCTCTGTCTGTCTCTCTCCCTCCCTCCCTCCCTCCCTCTCTCTCTCTCTCTCTCTTCCCTCCCTCCCTCCTCCCTCCCTCCCCCTCTCTCTCTCTCTCTCTCTCTCTCTCTCTCTCTCTCTCTCTCTCTCTCTCTCTCTCTCTCTCTCTCTCTCTCTCTCTCTCTCTCTCTCTCTCTCTCTCTCTCTCTCTCTCTCTCCATGATCTTGCACTTCCTTTCGGTCTCGCCGTTTAGCTCGAGTTGCCTGTTAGTCAATTACAGTTATGCTCACGCTGCCAGTTCGGGAATTCGGTTAACCAATTTTTTTCAATCGATGCGTCTAAATCAACGGGAACACCACGCCACACTCCGTTCTCCGTTACTCCTTGACCTTGACTCTCTCTCTTTTTATCTATATATCTATCTACCTCTCTATCTCTCTCTCTCTCTCTCAATCTATCTGTCTCTCTCTCTCTCTCTCTCAATCTGTCTGTCTGTCTATCTCTCTCTTTCTCTCTCTCAATCTATCTGTCTATCTCTCTCTCTCTCTCTCAATCTGTCTGTCTGTCTATCTCTCTCTCTCTTTCTCTATTTACCTATACATCTATATATTTGCCCCCCCCCACCTCTCTCTCTGTAAATACATTAATCTCATTGTTCTTGTTTGTCTTCTTCTTCCCTTTCTTCTTTCATCTTGCCACAAAATTCTTTTCGGTATTACAGCCAGTATAGGAAAGGTCTCCCTGAATATCAAAAACAGCCACTGAACATCATCCCTGTACTCAGTCTCACTGTATATAGTCAAGGTTCAATTATATTTATATTTGCAATAAGATTAATGTAGATGATAATATTGATAATGACTACAACGAAAATGAAGAAAATAGTAATGTTAATGATGGTGAGAATAATGTAAATGTATAGTGACTATGATGAAAATAATGATAATGATAATAGCAATGGTGATGGTATAGGTAATCATGATAATATTAGTAATAGTAATAGAAATAATAAAAGGAATGGTAATGAGAATCAAGATAATCATAGGAATGATAATGATGATAACAACTAAATAACATCAATAATAACAGTAATAATGATAAATATGATAATGGGAAAGATGTGTGATTTCAACAATAACGATTATAACACTGATAATAATATTGATAATAATAATGATTATAGTAATAACAATGAACATGGTAATAGTAATTAACAAAAACGATAATGATAACAATAATAATGGTAGTAATGACAATAATAATTATGATAATAACCACAATAATAGTAATAATAATGATTATCATAACAGTAATGATGAAAATGTTAACCTTAAAAATTATGATAATGTTAATGATTATGAAAATTATATTAATAATGATAACAAAAATAATGATAATGATAATAACGATAACTATCATAACATTACCATAATAA